GGCTCAGAATTCGTCACAAATAGTCTTATGGTTTGGTTCGACTCCTTTGTTTCTCCAATGGCGCGTTTGGTGGCTGTAAGCAATCGCGTCGACTCCCCCGATTTTTGGTGCGACGGAGAGAGGCGGCGTGGACAATTTGTGGCGTTTCGGTGACGTCCGCGAGAGCAAACGGGACTTGCATGCAACTGCGTCTGTCTTCTGAAAACTGCCTCGTGCACCTCGGGGTCCGCCCGCCCCCCTATTTTTGTTTTTTTCGCGTGATCTCGTCGCTCCTCGGGATCCCTCCTCCACCTCGCGTGGCGAGAAACTCTTCGCTGTGTAAACATGGGCAACGGGTTGTCGTACAACGTTCGGTACACGACCCCATTTTTCGAACACACAACGCTTGCAGGTGGAGCAGCACATCGTGGACGGCGACCTGAAGACGCTGCTGGTCCACAGAAAGGGCGCCACCCGCGCTTTCCCCCCTCACCACCCCCTAATACCGGTAGACTACCAGTTCACGGGGCAGCCGGTTATCGTCGGGGGCACCATGGGGACCTGCAGCTACGTCCTAACCGGCACGCAGAAGGGCATGGATGAGACGTTCGGTAGCACTTGCCACGGAGCCGGGCGTGCTAAGAGTAGGAACGAGTCCAGGTGAGAGCCTTACTAATGTTGTTTTGTCTCTCTTTTTCCGTAGTGTGATGTACCACCCGTTTCTGACCTATTACCCTCCTGCTTGACGCTCGTCCCAATTGCCTAAATAGGCAACAATTTCGTGTTGACTCATGCGAGCAAGCAGCACTACTATACCTGTATTTCGTCGTTCTTTATGACACACCGGTGGATTTACCTTCTTCGGAAGGGGGGGGGTGGGGGGCGTACTCTTATGTTTTGCATGTCTAAGCGGTTAGACCATTGACCACGCGTCCTCGAGAGGACGGAGCATTGTTCCCACAGGACCGATCACCGATGGCCAATCGTTCCTTTCTACTTTGCCAAAGGTGGCTCAAAAATGTCTTCCCTAGTCTGTCTATCCTAACGAT